CTGAGCTACAAGAACTCATGGAGAGCAAGGTCATTTAACTGAGTTCATATATGATAGGTGTCCTGCATACTGCTAGGATCAATGCTATCGAATTCATTGTGAGTAGTGATAAGTTAATAAAGATGGTGAATTTTAAGCTGGAATCGTACAATTCAGGGAATAATTGTGCTTGTAATTTCAAATTGGCCTCGTGCTTTGTGCTCCTCCGATTTTGAAATTACTTGCACGATTAGTCCCTGAAGTGTACTCCACTCGGTCCAATTACTATTACTAATCACATGGGGACCTACATGAATCAGTTGACCATTAGTGATCTATACACACTCACATTTTATTGATCTTGCACAGGGCTGCAGCTGCACTGAGCTTCTCAGCATGTTCACAGATAAGAAAACACGTAAGGGATGGTTTCTCCTTGAAAGTCACAATGCCAAGCTGTAAGGAAAATTTTGACATTCTGTAAAAGATACACTATAATTTGTACCATGATTTAGTGATCAATGTCAGAAATTCTGTGTCTTACATTGTTTCATACATTTACTGTATGGGCATACATGTAAGTGCAATGTGATGAAAGATCAGGTTGTCAAAGATTCACTCAAAAACCAGTTGAACTAAGAAACTCTCATATTTATGTTCTTTTCAGTGCGTACTTCGTCTCAAAGACAAGTCTAAATTCAAAGGATTGTGCTGACTAAGTTAACAACAAAATGTACAAGACTTATCCTTAATTAAACTACTCAAGCATGTCAAACTATTTTTGTAATCTATGCTAAGCTGTGCTTTACTTTTTAAGCTAGAAGGCTTTCATGGCATAATTTTTAACATATTTGAATTGCATTGTCAACAATCATGTGCCACAGGTGGCTATGGGAGCATGAGCACTTAAGAGTAGTTAATCAGACAGACTGGGGAGTGGGGAGTGGTGCACATCACTACTTCCAAGGAATTTTCAAACAACTGTAGGGCCTTGAAACAAGACTCTTGAAATTGAAGAGTTTTCAAGATACATGCACACATACAACTGTGCTGTGGGAGGCCGAGTGGTCTACTAGTTCATGAATTTGATCTAGGATAGAGCAGTCCAGGTCAAGGTTTGACACCTGGCCAGGGTTATTGCATTGTATTCTTAAGCAAGAGCTCCAGTGCGTTCCATGGTCTAACAAATGCTGAGGGTAACCCTGTGATGGACTAGCATCCCTTCCAGGGGAGAGTACAAATACTCCTAGCCACTTCATGCTACAAAAACCATTATGCTCTAATGCAGACTCTATCAGTTAGAATGTGTAAACCCTCTCACATGCTTTGTGTTCTGAGTTGACGAGCTGCTAATTTATGATGAATATGCAAAAGTCCAGATCAACAGTACATTTTCACTATCTAAAATCAAGATGACAAATAATTGCCATGATTTACAAAAAATCATCAGTGGTTTTATGTACACAAAAATACATGAAATCTCTGACCTTTTGCCACAGGCCAACACTCTTCAAAAACTCTACCATAAAAGAGTGAGCTTTCAACTTGTCTTGCAGCTGATGAAGGATGATCAATGAAGTTGATGCAGATATGCCACCTGTTACATCATGTCAAGTGTTGATTAGTCCTTGTTCTTACCATGACATTACATGTAAGAACCAGATCAAGTCCAAGTAAATATAGACATATAATTATACAAATTGAGCTGACATTATACAGTTTTACAAGCTTAGGTGAGAATATCGAATCTGATATAGAACACCCATACATATTCCATATAAAATAAATCAAACTACAACTTGTAAATTAATGTACAGATGCGTGGAGACATTTGTCAGTTATTTCAATAATGTATCACACTGAGTCCTTTTTGCCCAGTTGCAGAATTTGCTTTCTTCCAAACTCAGCTCTGCTGTGATGTATCGACCTTAAGAAAGATGGGTTGATACGATCCCCCCTTGTTTATTGGGAGAATTTTTAAACCAAGTTTTCAACAGATGCATGCAAAGAAATTAATAATTATTTGCCAAAAAAAGAAAACAAGGCAACTGTATGTACAACCCCTCCAAAATGTTCCAGCCCTTTTTCTCTCCCCCTTTGCTCTTGATATTTAGAAATATGTAGGTGCCCACTCAGGATTGTGAAAGTCCCCTTCCCTCCCTTCTAGAGGGGGACATGTGGGGTTTGTGGTCTTACACAATTTTTCTTGTGGTATTTCAGTAATTTTAGTCTTGAAATGCAGTATTGCTGTATTCTTCGAACCTGCAAGATGTGGTTTTTTAGCATTTTGGACGGTGTTAAAAATTATTCTCCAAGCCCTCCGAAATTTTCTGAGCCTTCTCAGTTTCCGATTGGACATTCATGAAACTTAGCTCTCATGGTAATGAAAAACTGCAATTCTTTGCATCGCAATTGGAAAAGGGATAGTTAGTTTTTGTTAATTATCAGCCAACATGCTAATGGATGTTACCTTTTTTGTTTATTTTGTCTAAATCAAAAATTACATGACTTAAAGGGACAATGTCATGAGCTGCACATGTGCAAGATTGCTTTTTCCATATGGGCCTTAATTTTCTTTTTACAGGGCATAATTATTTAACCTTACTGTGTTCTATTACAGCTAAGAGAAAGTAGATTTCTCAAAATAGACTATTTTCAGGTCAGTTTGTGTTCAATAATCTTTAACTCATTCCATGATTCCAGCCATGTCGGGTTGCAGTGTCATCAACACAACTTTACAATTAACCAGTGCTAATTGTTTTGCGCAAATATTTTTTCCCTTGCATATCTACACAGATTTCTAAGTTAAATACTGGTACTAACAGCTACATTAATGCAGATTCTACAGTACATAAGGATTCAATGTTCACGATGCAAAAATAGCTTACAGATCTAACCGTATCACATTCTAGTTACTTTCGAATTGCAGCATGATCCACACATCTTTCAAGTTCACAGCGCTAACAGTCTCATGTCAATAATGCTCTTTCCCAAATAAACCTACACAGATTTCCAAGTTTTATACACCATGTTAAAGTTAACTGAAAGGACATGCTGGAGAAAGTAACAATTTCAGGGTCAAGATGCGTTGAATAGCCTAAAAATCATGCTGCATTTGACTATAGTTACTGTCGAGTTGCAACATGATCCATGTTTCTTTCAACTTCATGGTAATACTGTGTCATGAAAATTTTTCCTCCAGCACATCTCAACAGATTTATAAATTTAATAAACCAATTGAAAGCTAAGTGAATGTAGATTTTTTAAAGCATCATGACGCGATAAAGCGGAAAAAAAAATCATGACATGTTTCACTAAAATAACTGTTAAATTGACTGTTAACTGTCTCAAATCATGCATTGTTTTCCAATTGCTTTCTCTAGCATATTTCCACAGAATTCTACGTTCAATGTATTAGTTAAAAGCTAAGTGAATACAAATTCCTGAGACAATTATGATAAGGAGGTCAAGATGTGCTGAGTACCTCAACTGGCCAAGATTCGGCATTTACTGCATAGAAACACTGTATTCAGAGCTGACAGGCAGTCACTAAATTTGCTCACTAAAATTGGTTTGGGGTATTGAGGTGTTCAGAATCCCCCAAATGTCTCCCTCCTTCTATTTAATGTATCACATACATGTAAGCATTTATGGGTTCTAATTAGCATATTAAATTGACTCATGTGAAATCCTTCTACTATCAACATTTTCTTGAATTTGGAGCAACTTAAATCATGAATGAGACAGAGGTTTTACTCTAACTAACGTACCGACTAGGGCATTTGTATTTTGTATTCACTGACCTGCTGGAATGGATTCTGCCCATCGTGGATCTGACACAGGAAAATCATCAATCACCTCTTTACTAAGTGCTAACACAACATTATCCAACTCAGCACTTCCTGATGTATCACAGACACTCTGAGCTTCATCCTGTATTTATTACAATGAAGATGAAAAATTAATAACGGATATGCATGAAAAAAGACATGCGGTCAAAGATGATTGAGTCTGGAAACAAACAAACCAAACACCGATGTTATTAACTCCAACTTGGCTACATAATTAATATTTAAGTTACTTACCAGTGCACACAAGGTCTATAACGAAAAAAAAAAAAAAACATCTTCCAAAGGGTTGGCTACAACAGCTAGGGGGGATACTAAGTGACAGGTTTTTCTTGATATAGCAAGTTGAAATGTGGGTTTGTCCATGCTAAATAATGGGATTAGTTGATGCAAAGTAGATCACCTTTTTTATTGTTTTGCTCTGGAAAAGTTAGGGTAAAGCACATTCAATTAAAACTTAATCTGAAGAACCAAAAGGTCTTAAATTCAACATTAAATTTATCCTTTCACACTGACAATATAATGCAGATTATTTTTATATTAGAGAGCGAAAGCGATGATACATGTGAACAGATTGTAACTGAGGGTCACTTTCATCACAAAACATCACTAGTATTTTACACAGCAAATACAAAACAATTCTTATTCAGAGTCTTTATATAGGTACAAATCTATGAGTTTTGATCAAGGGCAGGTTTTATTTGATTTGATAATACATTCTGCACTTGTCCAAGGAAAACCAGCTGTGTTTATCAGAATATGGTTTAACAAGGAAATCGTGTCAATCCAAGACCTCCTGGATGACACTGGGTGTATCATGTCATATTTCATATTTAAATACAAATATTCACGTCAGTCAATTTTTTTTCAATATTACCAAGGTTACAAGTGCTATATAAGAATATTTATTGATCAAGGCAAAAACCAAAAGCAAATGATCCAATTAGGAAATAGTTTATCTTTGCAGATAAGGTCACCATCCAGCTAGATGGCCTAAATAAAACCAAAATCTGTGGTAGCTTTCTATAAACTATTAAATGCAAGGATCCATACAGCCAAACACCTAGTACACAAACAGGGGGTTCTGGAAAGAGCATTCACCTCCCTCAAAAATCTATGTAAGGAAACCAAGTGAAAGGAAATTCCAATTTCAATTCATCCACTATATTGTGGTTACCAAAAAGGAGTCCCATCGCTATGGTATTACACCAGATGATGATTGTGCATACTGTGGAGATAAAGAGTCAATTTACTATTCATTCAGAGATTGCCAATTTACAAGTTCAGTTGAAACCGTCCAGTGAAGAAAAACTATTTGGTCCCACCATGAATTTAGAGATTTATCAATGAAATTCAATTATAAACTGTCATTCATGAGATATTAAATTTACAGCTGCAAATTGCATGGCAAACCAATTCCACTTTCGGGACTTTGTTAAGAAGTTATTATTATTATTATTATTATTATTACTATTACTATTACTGTTACTGTTACTGTTACTGTTACTGTTACTGTTACTGTTACTGTTACTGTTACTGTTACTGTTACTGTTACTGTTACTG